GATGAAGAAGGAGAGATTCTTCTTTGATGATGTGGAAATTAAGATAACACCAACTGTTGGTTTATTCATTACAATGAACCCGGGATATGCTGGTAGGACTGAACTACCTGAAAACCTCAAAGCACTCTTCAGGTAATGTACATGTACATGTATAATGTATATGCTTAGGTCAGAATTAAGAAGCTTTTGCAAGTGAAGAATTGTGTGGTACATGTACATGTATATACTGTGCATATTAATATTGTCCCATTAATACACTTCACTCAATATGTACATGTATATCATTAGACCTTGTGCTATGGTGGTTCCTGACTTTGAACTGATTGCTGAGATAATGTTAGTAGCTGAGGGTTACATTGATGCTCGTATACTAGCAAGGAAGTTCCTTACTCTGTACACTCTGTGTAAGGAGCTGCTGTCTAAACAGGATCACTATGACTGGGGGCTGAGGGCCATTAAATCAGTACTGGTGGTAGCTGGATCTCTTAAGAGAGGAGATAGAGGAAGGCCTGAAGACCAGGTATCATTATAAAGTGTATATGTACAGTGTAGCCTCTTTATGAGCCCACACTACCTGCCCTCAATACATGTACAGTGTAGCCTCTTTATTGGGCCCACACTACCTGTCCTCAATACAGAAGTGTCCTCATTTCAGAGGTACTTTTGTATAGGCTTGTACCAATTGGGACATTACAAAATGTCCTCATTATAAAAGGATCCTTATTATAAAGGTGTCCTCATTATAGAGGGTATACACTCTATGCATGTACATGTACATTGCATGTGTACATTAGAATACTACTGTTTATTTACAATGTATTATCTTTAATTTGTGTCCACTGCCCTGTAGGTATTAATGAGAGCATTAAGAGATTTCAACACTCCAAAGATAGTGACGGATGATGTCCCAATATTCATGGGACTGATAGGGGACCTGTTTCCAGCACTGGATGTACCCAGAAAGAGAGACATGGACTTTGAAGCATGTGTCAAGCAAAGCGTACTAGTAAGAACTGTATAATACCGTAATATAATATTATTTGCATGTACATTCATGTACAATATATGGAGTGTTTTCTAAAACTAAAGGCTAATTGTAGAACCAGCTATAGCCTCCCTATTATTATTATAGTGACTAATTATCTGTTGTAGGATCTTGGTCTTCAGGCTGAGGATGGTTTTGTATTGAAAGTGGTTCAGTTGGAGGAACTGATTCATGTCAGACACTCTGTGTTTGTGATTGGTAATGCTGGAACTGGGAAAAGCAAGGCAAGCATACATGTACATGTACATGTACATGTACGTACAGTAGCACTTCTATCACTATTATTATACTAATACTTTTATTAGTATTATCTACATCATCATCATCATTATTTATCATTATTATTATACAGATATTACGGTCACTCAACAGAACGTACCAGAACATGAAGAAGAAGCCATTATGGCAGGACCTCAACCCAAAGGCTGTCACAAACGATGAATTGTTTGGCTACATAAACCCAGCGACCAGAGAATGGAAGGACGGCCTGTTCTCCTGCATAATGAGAGACCTCGCTAACATATCAAATGAGAGTCCCAAGTGGATTGTACTAGATGGAGACATTGACCCAATGTGGATTGAATCACTCAACACTGTCATGGATGATAATAAAGTTAGTATGACATTGTGCATGTACATGTATGTACATAAACTTATTCTTATACTTATATATATACATACAATGTACATGTATGTGTATGTGCACCATAAGGAGTGAGGACTGCTATGCTGTCATGTTTAACATCATGTTCTTTTACTAGCATTTTGATATAATTTACCTATCACAAAAAAGGAAAATTTAAATAATTTATTTTTGCAACTGCTTCACAAAA